GTTTTTATCCGTAAACACTATAAATAGAAGGCGATTCCTTCATTTTACGGACACGCGCAAACACCTAAAAATCCAGAGAAAACTCTAAGGCATTTGCCGAGAGGAATACGGTTAAAAGGAGAGTTTGCGGAGCCGAGCGTTCTGTCGGCGATCGAGAGGGGCAACACGGATCATTCATCGATCGAATCCGTGTAGTCAAGGTGGGTGTAAAGCCGTGGTAATGTCTCGGAGATTACGATCTCCGGACGTGCGGATGGTATAAGGGTTAGAATATTGTGGGTTGTTTAATTAGTTCGTTGATCGGCCTAGTCATTCATGAGCATATTCATATCGTGCATACTTTGTGAGGAGTAACGGTTTGGTTGAGACGGGGAGGCGGCTCGGCAAGGAATCGGCGGATCCGCGAGGATCTACCGGTTCTAGGCCGAACTGATGCGCTTACTTCCTCTCTCCGATCCGTTTTCCAGACCAAAGGATTATAAGAACGTATAGTGCATTGCATGGACTTGCATCCACTAAGTAAAAGACGAGTACTTATGTCTTGTTGGTTTCAGGGAAGGATGGTGATCGTGGGAAGGATATGGCTTAGGCGCGAGAGACTCATGGTCGAGAAGATGGGTGGTGGTGAATCGGGTAGAATAGGATCGAGTATATGACTTGTAATAGCTTATATGCAAACTCATAAGTTGTATCGAATCCTTTACTTATCTAATAAAGTATCCGATCTTTTGTTTTACTCTAAGGTTGCATAATGACTCTAAATAATGAATCGCGGAATAATATGAAACGGATTGACTTAAGGAATGAACCCTAAAATTTGGCTAAGGATCGGACCACTTAGTGATCCGTTCGGGAAGAACCTCTCCGGGCCTAGGGAGTCCGGGTTGGGGTCTTTCAAGTTGGTATCAGAGCATTTACGGTTCTAGGACTATGAGTTTTGGGTTTGGGGATCACCACTCATCGGCTTAATGAGATCTCGCGGTAGATGTTCTTTCTCTCTAAACGATTACTTTGAGTTATATGACTAACTTGTGAGTTTTCGCAGATGGGTAAGAAAGACAAGAAGGGAAAGAGTAAGAAGGATAAGGACGTCGTTGAGGAGACCTTGACCGCCGAGGAGACGCGGGTCACTGAGGAAACAAGGGTCGAAGCAACGATGGATGGAATAAACCCGGCCGGACCTGAGGCTGGACAGAAACTTCCGGTTCACGAAACTCCGGAGAGTAGTGA